CCGCCGCCCCAGAGCCGCAGCACCCCCGCGTCTCCCTGCGCGGCCGGGGCGGCGGGGGGGCGGCGGGAGCGCGGCCCGTTGTGCGGCCGCTGGTTCTTCCTCCGCGCAGCTGGGCCAGCCCGCCTCCCGCCGGCGCAGCCCGCCTTCCCCGGCACCCCCCGCCCCGAGCGCCGGTCCCCCGGGAAGGAATTACACAACCCCTTGGATAAACGGAGTCGTTTGGGGCTTTTTTTTTTTTTTTTCTCCCTTCCCCGCTGGACTCTGAATTTTACTTATGTCGTCCTCAGCTAACGTAGGCGGCCGTTTGCTCTTCACGTTGTGAGCACTCGTAGTCCTGTGTGGAAGTTGCTTGAGGTAATAGGGTAGAATCGGTTTCTTAATCTAGTGGAGTTTTATCTACGTGCAGTTTGAAGAAGTGGTTATGGCTTGGCTTTGACTGGAAAGAAAGGCACCACTGAGCTAATTCAGCTTGGCAGTAGAACTGTTTTTGCTGTAGCCACAGACAAGCATTGCAGAAATCTTTCTTCTGATTCAGCAGGAACATTTTCCATGTTCATTTGGAAAATAAACTTGCTGTAGTTGTCAGGGAAGAAACAATAAGGAGTATACAAAGGGACAAGGAGCTATCTGTTCACACTCGTCAGAAAAAGACCAGGCCAGAAGACAGGGAGCTGAACCTCACTATGCAAAATACCATCTTTTCTATCATTAAACCAGCACGGCCACGTTTCTTTCCTTTGGGAAGTGGAGGGGGCTCTCTGTAGAACTGTTAATATCGGTTTCATTTTTTTTCTTCTTTCCTTTTTTTTCCTGCACAATAAATAAGTTGAATAAAGCTCTTGAATAAAGCTCTTTTACAGAAGGTTGAGCTTGCCCATCAGTACTGAATAATGTAGAGCTGGGATTCAATAGAGTTGAGTTTTCAAGCTGTTTCTTAGCCCCTGCTTTCTTCATTACAGCAAGAAAACTAGTGAAAAAAAGAAAAAAAAAAAAAGATAAACAGCTTGCAGGATCCTTTAACTTTTTCATTGCTCTCTGTAGTAACCAGTGCTTTCTTTGGAAGCAGCTGACAACTTATGGTGAAGACCATGAAGTTTTGTATAAAATTCTGCTTACGTGGTACATGTTCCTGAGTGTTTTGTTGACTAAGGCAGAAAAACTGTAGTTTTGGCTCATTAGTTCAATTCATTATAATTATGTCTAATATTTATGGAAGATTCTTTCCAGCCCCTTTCCCCCCCGCCACCCTCTTCTTCAATAATTGTTATTTAACCAGATGTTAGCTTTAATAGTTCAAAACCGAAAGAACAGCTTAAGGAATACACTCTACTGTAGCAGTCTTTGTTTAGTTTAAACATCTGTTGCTATTTTCCTTATTCTGGAAGTTAACATTTTTAACACTAAAATAAACACACACAAAATGAAGAAAAGAAAAGCAAAACTTCAGTGGTGTTTATAGTGAGGTGTTTATATCCCAGTGATTTAAAAAGTATAAACACTGGCAACATCTGCACTGAACTCGAAGGGTGTTTTAGAGATGCCTACACATCTTCCATGCCTCTGCCATAGTATTTATTTTGTGAGTGAGTTGTGTCAGCAGTGATGGATCTTGTCTTTTCAAAGACGCTGCTGCGGTAGTAACTACATTGACAACAAAGTGGCCTTTCAAACTCAATTAATTAGGATTTATTGAAGGTCATACTTGAACTACTTATAAATAGATGCCTTCCTGCAAAGTACTTTTGCAGATGCAGGATAAGATACAAATACATTGTATGATGTGAAAATAGGTTTGAAATTTCAGAGGAAAGAATTATAGACTGATACGCCACAGGCAATGAATGAGATGGGTTCCTTATTTCTTTAGATTCTCTCTTGAAACACTTGCTTTTGCTTATTGAGATAATTGGTATACTGGTGAAGTGTGTCATTATTGTTTTATGAGGTTTACTAGTGGTTTTAATCTTTCACCTCTGGCACAAGCCACTGAACTATGTGCCATTGATTTGTAGCTGCAGCTTATGGATAAGAGATGTATTGGTACATAAGAAGTAGGAAAAATTCTTCCATCATGTGCATTTGGCAGCCCTTCAGTTCAACATGGAGTAGAAGAATATAATTTGCATCCCAAGATGACTCCTGCTTTTTCTTGCCCAGCAAGAGTTACAGATGGCACTTTGTTATCTGTAAGCTTCAGGCTACTGAGTTAATGCCAGCACTTGCTTAGTCTTCCCTAACTGTTAGGTGCAAGAAACCTCAGCTATGTCTTAATCTCGTTCTGTTCCTAAGTAGTGTCATTCATGATCATGCTCCAGTGAGTATGGGAACGTTTATTGACAAGACTGCTGTTTAGTTCATAAAACATATTTCTGATTTTGGCTTACTCTTTGGAGGTCTGGGGAAAGAGAGCAGAATGGTGACTAATATAGATGCTTTATGGACAGAAGAGTGTCCTTTTGTGGAGGTTGGGGGGGAAATGGGAGATCTAGAAGTTCTCCCATTAACCGTTAAGAAGTAATGGTGTGTTGCAGATATAGCTGACCGATTTGTAGTGTGGAACCTTAACTGAAGTTGACTGTTTTCTCAAACATAAGAATTTTCTAGTTGTCTTTTTTTTTTTTTTTTTTTTTTTTTTTTTGTGAGGTTGGTCTAACACTGGCACAGATTTCCCAGAGAGTTTGTGGAGCCTCCATCTGTGGAGAAACTCAAAACCTGGATGTGGCCCTGAGCAACCTGCCCTAGTTGAGCCTGTTTTTAAGCAGGAGGTTTGTACTAGATGATCTCCAGAGGTGCTTTCTAGCCTCAACACTTCTCTGATTCTATAATGTGATGGAAAGTTCTGTACACTTATATAATTAAGACAGCCACAGCCAGCAAAAGGATTGTAACCAGAGATGAGGTGAGAGGGTTTTTGAAAGGGGGTCCATAACTTTGAACCACAGAATAAAACTGTTTCCTTTCCTCGGGGTTGTTTGTTTTACACTGAAAATTTGTGTCCTTTTGAGTGTTTTCTTAATATTATTACTAGCTTTGAGTTCCTCGTGATGCCTCATGATAATCTCAACTCTGATGCTTTTGGAGGAAAATCTTAATTTTAACAACATGGTGTTTTTTCTAACAAGTCACATAAAAAAAGAACATTTGAGTTTTGTCTCCCTCTCCAGTGAAAGAAAATTTTTAAATCATTCAAATGAGAATGTTTAGTCTTTGCCAATGGGAAAGTGACAGTTATATTAACAATGATCAACCATTTCAAGCAATTTATTGTAACATATTTGGTGTAATAAGGAAGAAAAGAAGAAGTAAGTAGAGAATTGTTGACTCAGCATCTGGGTGCTGATTTTTAGCATGAATACATCTGATATCCTGCTACTAAACATTTGCTGCCAGTTATCAACAATTGGCCAGTTTAATGAGTAGTGCTTTCATATCATTGTTTTCTTCTTAATGAGCTCAGAGACATCAGAAAGCTCTTGAGAGACTGTTGTCCTCGCTGAGGTGCAAAGGCCACGAAGCAGAACCATTCTGTACCAGTCTGGCATTCCCAGTGCTTCGTATCAAATGACAAGCACTTGATCCGGGCATGCATTCAGAGGTAGAACATCTGCATCTTGTTTTGCAATGGAAACTCACTTCACTTTAGTTTAATATGCTTTCTCCGAGAGCCTTGTGTGTGAAGTAATGGCAGGAGGGCTCAGAGTTAAACAAAACAAATTGCAGGTGATCCCGCTCTTTGACTGGTGCAGGGGCAGTCTAGCAAGTTTGGGCTCCTTGTTTTCAATAGAATATATATGAGAAGGTGCAGTCTCCAAGTAGATTTGTTTCATTTTGTTGTTTATCTGAGGGAGTGTACAGATGGTTGTGTGTTGGAAGGCAGATTTCTGTCTTCCTTCCTCTCTCTCCCATTTTCAAATGCTTTGTGTTATTACTACTACATTCTCAAGGCTTGAACTGCTGTGCTGGGAAAGGTATAAAGAAATGCAATAAGATGCTAAGAAATCCCCCAGGCATGTTATGAGACTTGGAGCACTCAGAATAGTTATACAGAGTTCTCTGGACAGTCCAGAAGACTGGATTTTTTTAATGAAGAAAATTGAATCCAGATTTATAGAAAAACACCCCTTTTTGGTTTCAGGACAGCTTACATTAGTTAGTGGCTTATTACATAATTATTTCACTGACTTCCTGTAACAATGAAGCATTACTTGGCTACAGCAGTGAGCTTGCATAGCTAGCTATCTTTTTAGGGCACTGCAAGGCATTTTGAATATAGGTGTATCTTCCTAAAAAGGCCAGTTTAGATGTTTGATATCAAATGAGGAGCCTGAAACAGACTCTGCTAACTTCATTTGCTTTTTAATGAAAGGTAACGTGTTTTCTTAAGCTCTAAAGAATAGTTTCCATCAGTTTTCTTTGCTGACCTTGCATTTTACTCTGGGTTTGTAACATCAGTTTCTCCTATTAACTTCAAAATTCGGTTTAGTTTCTAAATATATAAAATAACTTTAACACTATTATTCTATTAAGAATTAGTGGAATAATAAATGGCATAAAAATCTCCTTCATGGTGAATTAAGTGTTCTTATTTGTAATGCAGTATAAAATTTCTGTTCAAAGT